GGCCCCATTTCTTAATCTTATAAAAATAATTTGTTTATCCTTATAAATCTGAAAAAGTCTCCCAGATTTTGAAAAATATATGTGTTATTATAAAAACATTATATGAAAGGAAGATTTTGTCTCCTTCACAACCCACAAACTCTATCCTTTCTTACCCTCATTCCCTACCAAGCCTATGGCTCATTTTCCTCCTTTTGTTAAGATGTTCCATGCTCTTAGCTTGCAGAGCTTCATAAGTACTCTTCAGTTATTCTTCTTATAAATTGATTTGAAACACTTGGCTTCAAAGATTATTTTTGGTCACCTCCACTATTCCCTTTCTTAAGATGCCTCTGAAATCCCCTCTCAACACCACTCATCTCAGATGGTAGAAAAGATCGTCATCCTTACTTTTTCCTTTCCCATTTCTCTTGTGGAGTATACCCTTTCATAAATCTGATCTTTTACCTTTCTCAATTTATATCAATTCCATAATCACATATATTTCTTCACTCCCAGATCCCACAGACATTACAAACAACTTCATGTTAAACATCTCTATGTGTCTCATTTTCCTGTTGACTTCTGTGAAGAGCCCTTGACAAATAATACATTTCCCTGTCTGATTCAGTTTGTTTATAGTATCTCAACTGAATAAAATGTTCCAATCTTACAGACCTGTGGGTGCTTTGATTTTTGCAATAAATATTTCTTACTACAGATGAATCCCAACAGTATTTCATTAAACTTTTCTAATAGATATTAATAAACTTGCTTAACTAATGGGTGTTTTTGGTATGCAAAGAGTTACTCAGAGGAAAGAGAGTGAGTAGGACTGAAACTACCTTACAGAATCGGAATTAGTGGGTGAAAGAGGGTAAGGAGTTTACTCAAGCTCACTCTGCTGGCAATGTCAGAGCTGCATTAAATCCATCAGCACCCACCTTGAGAGTGGGAGGCTACAGTGGGCTTACCAGGAAGCATACCTGGGTGAACAAGGACTTTCTCAAAGATGAGTTAATTTCAGACCACCTAAAAACTCTGATGTAATAATAGAATCAAAGACACCAAGTGGATCACAAGGTCAGGAGTTCGAGACCAGTCTAGCCAACATGGTGAAACCCCATCTCTACTAAAAATACAAAAATTAGCCAGCCGTGGTGGCGGGCACCTATAATCCCAGCTACTAGGGAGGCTGAGGCAGGAGAATCGTTTGAACCCAGAAGGCAGAGGTTGTAGTGAGCCAAGATCGTGCCATTGCACTCCAGCCTGGGCGACAGGGAGAGAATCCGTCTAAGAAAAAAAAAAAAAGAGAGACACCAGAATGTACTATTCCTAAAATTTTTGAAGTCAAGGAGAAACTAGTGTCCTTGTAGATCGGATTCATTTCCCATGAAATGTGGGGTTTAGGCCCAGCTCCATCATATCTGCATATCTTGGCACATATATTTTTTTAAATATAATCACACTCTTACCCTTTTAAATTGCAAAAATGTCGCCTCTGACTACTTGCCATTAATGGTAAGTAACATTCATTACAGAAGCACATCTTTTCAAACCCCAACACTGCCTTCTTTACATTCTATAATATGAAAGTTAAATAACCGAAATAATAACCCTGCAATTACTATTGAAAAAAATACCAGCTCTGCTGAAATGAAACTGGATATTTTTCACTTGTTGTTGTTATAGAATATATGTGTAGAATACAAAAATAATAATTTGCACTCATCCGACTTCTTTCACTTTAGCGTCTCAAATCCCAGAGTGTAAGTGGTCTCATTAAGTTTACCAAACCAATTTAACTCTAACATGCTCTTGAACCCCCTCTCCAAGTCCACTGAGGCTTTTCTGTCACGAATGCTGAACACTATCATCTGAAATTCTGAGCATTCTGTAGATATGTTTGACCTTCTGCAGATAAAACTCAATCGTTAAGTTATATATTAAAATAGACAAAACTATCTAAATAAAAAAGAAAAATATGACTATTGTGTATTTCCCTACATCTACACACATCCACAAACACTCACATGTACAAAATAACTTAACTTATGTACAATTGGATTTATTAGAATGAGGAAAGCTTTGGCTATAAGAACAGCTAGAAAAACAAGAAGAAATGCTTTATCTGGATCTATGGAAACAAAGTCTATTGGTTTCTAAGCTCCATTTATTTAGGCAACAAGTGCTACCCAGATGTTTATTTGTTTCTTTATTTCTGTTCTGCATTTCATGTTAGAAAATGCTTACTTTTTTTTTTTTTTTTTTAGAGACAGGGTCTCACTTTGTTTCCCAGGCTGGTCTTGAACTCCTGGTATCAATTGATCCTCCCACCTTGGCCTCCCAAAGTGCTGGGATTATTGGTGCGAGCCACCACACATGGCCAATTGTTCAGATATTTATTGAGGGCCCATTATGTTATAGGAACTATGGAGGATACAAAGATAAGTTATTCCTCGGAAATATACAAATACTGAATTAATTCCAGCACAAGTGGAGTATGGTAAGTTCTATGAAGATGAGGGCAGTGGAGATAGCATCTGGCTGTGTATCTCCAGTGCCTGATATTGTGAATAACAAATAGTAGGTGGCAGGATGTGTTTCATGAATATGTAATGAAAGAATAATGCCCTCAAATAATGTAGAAGTTCAAAGGAAGGAGGGACAACTTCTGTCTGGTGTTACCCAGAAAAGCTTTCTAGATGATGAAGTATTTGATCTGAGTCTAAGGGTTGACGGGATGGGTTCTAACAGAGAGAATTCACATACCAGGCAGAGGTCATCACACAGTCACAAAGAGAGAGGCAAGAAAGTGTGACACAGCCTTTAGGAACAGCAAATCATTCAGTTTGGCAGTTCGGCATAGGAAATCAATAAGGTGGGGGTAGTACACAGACAAGACTGAAAAATTAGATTGAGTCCAGACTGATGAAATCCAGAAATGCCAAGTTAGGGAGTCCAGATTTTATTCTTGAAGGAAACTCTATTTGTGTTCAGATGCCTATATGACAGCTTAGCCACTTGCCAAGGAGCCATCAGCCTTGATCCTGCTTCTGAAGCTGTCAGAAGGAGTCATCAGAAGCATGCCCTAATTATATTATCGGCTACTCTCCAAGAAGCTACTCTAAGAGAAAACCTGCAAAGTGCAGCAGTCCCAGAAAAGAAGATGAAGACTAAAGACATGGATGCCGCTGGAAACCATCATTCTCAGCAAACTATCGCAAGAACAGTAAACCAGACACCGCATGTTCTCACTCATAGGTGGGAATTGAACAATGAGAACACTTGGACACAGGAAGGGGAACATCACACACCGGGGCCTGTCGTGGGGTGGGGGGAGGGATAGCATTAGGAGATACACCTAATGTAAATGACGAGTTAATGTGTGCAGCACACCAACATGGCACATGTATACATATGTAACAAACCTACACGTTGTGCACATGTACCTTAGAACTTAAAGTATAATAAAAAATTTAAAAATAAAAAAATAAGAAGGAGAGATATTTAGAAATGATTAATGTTGGTCAGTTTCATCAGTTCTAAGTCTGTTATCAGACACCTGTTATATTTACCATGATACTTTGAACACAAGTTACTTCGGTTCTAGTCTTTGGAGACTTAATGCACAAATCTTAAAAGGTAAAAAAAGTTCCGAGAGAAAATATGCCTTTTCAGAGACCTCTAATATGTTATAAAATGTAGCCTCTGTCTAAGAATAGACTGATTCTTTGAGGAAAATGGTAGAGTAGGCTACCTGGATACACAAAATTGTCCCATTCATTCACTGAAAACACACATGACCAGGAGCTGTAGCGAAATAAAGTTATAAAACATGCCTTGAGCAATTTACAATGAAATTGAAAAAAAAAAAGGTGCCACTTTTAAGTACTAGAAGATTTATAATATTTGACTTTAGCTTCTTGACTATTTCCATTTTTTAGTTAAGAAAATTAAGATTAAAAGGTTTAAATACCTTATCCAAGCCAAAAAAAAAAGGTAGCACAGTCAGAATCCAAATCCAAATTTGTTTGACTCCAGAAAGCATACTGTTTCTCACGTATCATATAATAGGCTTAGAGTCTGCCCTAGTATATGGAAAACACTCTCATGCAGTAGCTAAAAGCAAGATCTAGGTTATAGGTCTTGGCTCTACCTCCTGTGAGCTGTCTGACTTTGCACCTGTTGCTAACTTTTTATGCCTCCATATTCTCAACTGTAAAATGAGGGGAAATAATATTTCTTTTCTTTTTCTTTGAGACAGAGTCTCGCTCTGTCACCCAGGTTACAGTGCAGTGGCGTGATCTCGGCTCACTGCAAGCTCCGTCTACCGGGTTCACGCCATTCTCCTGCCTCAGCCTCCCAAGTGGCTGGTACTACAGGTGCCCGCCACCATGTCTGGTTAATTTTTTTTTTTTTTTTTTTTTTTAGTAGAGACAGGGTTTCACCGTGTTAGCCAGGATGGTCTCGATCTCCTGACCTCATGATCCGCCCGCCTCGGCCTCCCAAAGTGCTGGGATTACAGGCATGAGCCACTGTGCCCGGCCAGAGATAATATTTCTTAGGGTAATATTTCATAATGTAAGTCCTTACCTTATAGAGTTGATGTGAGACTTAAATGAGATAATACATACAAAATGCTTAGGGAAATGGTAGGCTCAAAGAAAATGCTCATTAAAATTAGCTATTATTTTTCAGTGAAATTTCATTATAATTGCAATAATTTAGACAATTCACTTCACGTTTTCTTGATCTCAGTCAACACACAAAGTCTTCCTTCAATCAAAAAGAAATCCCTTTTTTTATGCAGTCATTAATTTGTACACAAATGAACATATGAAATGTTAACATGGGTAAAAGTCACAAGAGTTCGGTTGCTTTTTGGAAAGACAACTCTTGCTCTGGTAACTTTTCTGACACTGATAAATTTGACTGATTAGCACTTTTGCTATCTGTTTCTTTCCCGACAGTACAAAACCCCAGATAAGATGACACATTTCCGTAGCTTGCAAACTTACCCATGAATGTAGGAGATCCATATCTGAGCAGGAAGACTTGAGACGTGTGTGGCGAATACAAGAGGAGCAGTGGCCCCAGGGTCCAACTTGTGCTATTTGGAAATCAACACATGTCCAGAGAGGGTTTTCAGGAAAAGGCTTCCACTGATGCCACGTGTAAGCTTCACCTTCATACCAAGCTAATTTATCTTCCAAGTTGCATTCATTTAAAGTGCTCGATCTGCCCACTGATGCAGAAAGAGTATCCAATCTAATCTCCATTTCTTCCTTCCTCCTTGTGCTAACACTACTCACTTTCTTTTCTTGGGACTTGGTTAATTTCAAACAAGAAATCAATGTGTCATCTTCATCTTCTGAATGACAAAGAAATGGGTTAAAAACTATGATTATAATTCTTCCCTTTATATAACAGAAATAAATGAAGCGCACTGGATAAACCAAGAAGTCATTCAATTTTACAAAATTATTTACAGCAGCATTTATTTAAAAAGTAAGTTATTTTGCTATACAAAATTTTTTGTTTTATAAAAGTCTCATTTTTCTGACATGTTTGAAACCATAACTATTGATTAAAGTCTATCTCACTGGAATGAATGGAGGCCACATACAAATAATATGCTGAAAGATATTTGAGAAAAAAATATAATTTTTTTTAAATGCACCTTTACGTTTCTATTATTAAATATGTTTAATTTTAAGGTCATGTGTATAATAAAGAATTATAAGGAAACAAATAAAATTATATGCCTTACATAAAAGAATGAAATCTCAGTGGATATGGACTGAAATCCTACTGGCATTCTGAAATTGTCTATTTTAATACCAATCTGCCAAGAGATTTATGCACGCAGTGTGTCTCATAGTGAAATAGTTCTTAAAAAGCAGGAACGACAAAACCAAAAAAGAGGCATATCTGTAATACTATAAAGTTCATTTGTGAGATCTATATTTACACAATGTGGCAAAGACTCTGATGAAATTTCTAGTAATATAGAAAACAGTTACAGAAAATAGAAATACATATCACCCAGAGTCAATTGCTCTATGTCATGGAATCCCTTTAAATCCAAATGTTTAATGAGTATTTTAAAAAGAGTTTGATTAATTAAGACATGCTATTAAAAATAAATAAATGAAAATCAAAGTTGCATGCCATGGACACACCAATTTGCTATGCTTACATCGAAATTCAAATATATGGTTTTCTATGGCCAAAGAATGGGAACAGTGGACACTGCTGAGCCTCCTCCATTGCTCTCTCTCACTCTGTCTCAGAGCCTGGTCTTGAAGGGAAGGAGAAATGGGGTGAGGCATAAATACGGGGTAAAATTCAGGAATAGATGGGGATGTCTGTTTCAAAATAACTTGGCAATAACAACAATCCTCAATGTTTAATGATTATCTTAAGATCTTATCAAAATGGGCTTCATTAATATATGCTTCCTTAGTTCTCCCTCAAAGGAATTGTAACAGCTTATTGAATTCTTACTTACGGAGGTTTATTAATGTAGGTTTCACCTCATCCAGACTCTGCACTCTGGCTTTCTTAGTCCAAACCAGTTTCTGTAGTCGCTTTAATGTCCCCATTGATTCCACAGGGTCACCGCCCGATTTTATGGCCTAGTACAAACACAGCTCAAGGTAAAGACAAATTATTTTCACAAAAGATTAAATATAAAATATGTTGAGATCATAAATGTGAAAAAATTAATGATGTGACCTTAAAACCTGAAGCCTGAGTCAATTTAAGCAATAACTTGAAAGCACACCACATTTTTTGGGTTCAAAATTGTGAAATACGTTACAACTGTCCAGTCATACTAAAGCAGAGTGGTTTTACCAATTTTTTTTTTACTTCAAAATACAGCAAAATGGATTGAATTCAGAAATATCTATAAATGACTCACTCCTGCCCACTGTGAAACAGTGGAAAAAAACAAGATCTTTGCAGTGTAATATAGATGGAACAAGAGGTTCAAAGTTGCTATTTGCTAGTGTTGGAATAGACCGATAGTATGCGAGGTCTACCCGCTAATATTAGATAAAAAAGAATGTAAATTATCTTCATTTTCTTTTTGGAAATTTGTGGGCAAACAGCATTTGTTTCAAGTATGAAGATTTTTCAAATAACATACTTTAAAAAAAAATAGCCTCTTGCTTTCTAGAAGATACGCACTAAGTGAAACAAAAGATAGCCACAGCATACCACATTATGTTTTAGTATACGTGTCACTTGTTTATTGTGACAAAATACGGATAAAATATAATTAACATTGCATTAATGACTCTTGTTTTCTTTAAAAAGATTCAGGAATGTTTCCCACCAGTTTACGGTTGAATTTGTACTTATACAGCTTTTACTTATTATCTTAAGGATAGTTCCTCATAAGGATTTCAAAATACTTTGGAAATTAACTCTTTGTGTGCTAAGTTTTACATGAGTTGATAAAATCATTGTGCTCTGTTGAATTCACTAGATGTGATGTAATACATACAGGAATACTTTTTCATCCAGAAAGTTCTACTCAGAAATATTTCTCCACCTGCTTTTGTCTCATTCTTTCCATTGAACAGCTGATAAATAACATCTACAAAGACACTGCAATTTTCAAAAGGTGAATATTGCCTCCTCATTAGTGTTTGAATGAGACATTTATAATAATGCTTTCCAAGCCTTTGAAAGAGACTATAAGCCCAAATAAATGTTTGGAAGTAAAGAATATCTGGCATGCAACATTTCAAATCCTTATACTCAACTATTATCTTTGGTCTTTATGATAGACTTTGAACAACCAGCATAAACTTGTTGTTCTGTCTCTGCAAAATAGCACTTACGTAGGAAATGTGACATTTTTGTCAGAGGAAGCCATACCATTTTGCATTAAATAAATGGGAAAATATTGAAATCATTTTAATCTTTTAGAAAGGACTGTGATGAGATATGCTTAGAAACGCAAAATCTTCCCTCTCTTTCCAAAGGCCATGCTCTGTTCAACACAATTTCTATTGCTTACATTTGTATTATTTCTCAGTGTTTCTTTTAGTGCTTTCTGAGTTACTTGGTTTTATAGACGTTTTACAACTTAGGAAAGGCTATTTTCTACTCTTTAGACCCTTTCAGAAATAATAAGATGACATTGCGCAACCATTTTTTCTTTGCTGTGCTTCTACTCTTATGTCAACTTCTTGTTACGGCCAAAGCTTAATTGTTCCACTGAAACACTGGCAACAAAAATCACCTTCTTTTCCCTTAGTGAAAAAGACTTTAATGTGGAGAAAGGTATTGTACACCAGGGAAACGGAACTTTGTATAAATGATTTTCCCCCAAGAGAAACTAAAGCATTTGGAAGGTATCTGAATTCAGATAAGTAAGATCTCATGGCCTAGAGGTTTTAAAACAAACTGACCTTTCATTATTTTGTTCACACTCTATTATAGCCTTTTTAAAGCATGATATTGTTATTTTTGTATCTTTACTCACTTTGAGTTACTAGACATCAGTCTACTGCATTTTATTTATTTTTTAAAATCCTATGAGTCTAGATTGTACATGGCTTAATAAATATGTACTGAATGTAAATACAAGCCTAATTTTATACATATTTTATGTACACAATGGAGTATCCATAGTACATTTTTGATACTAGACCCATTACTTTCTAATAGCAAAGTATTTCTGGACAACCTCCTCTTGTTAATAGGTACTATATATCCAAGGGATGAAATTTAGAGTTAATATTATTATAAAAGATATAGAATCATTAAAACTATGTATTAAAAAGAAAATGTATTCAGATTAAAAATACAGCCGGGTGCGGTGGCTCATGCCTGTAATCCCAGTACTTTGGGAGGCCGAGGCGGGTGGATCATGGGGTCAGGAGATCAAGACCTTCCTGGCCAACATGGTGAAACCCTGTCTCTACTAAAAACACAAAAATTAGCTGGGTGTGGTGGCATGCACCTGTAATCCCAGCTACTTGGGAGTCTGAGGCAGGAGAATCGCATGAACCCAGGAAACAGAGATTGCAGTGAGCCAACATTGCACCACTGAACTCCAGTCTGGGCAGCAGAGTGAGACTCCATTTCAAAAAAAGAAAGAAAGAAAGAAAAGGAAATCCTCTAAAATACTTTTCAAATGATAACACTATTTATCTCATTTCTCTTATCTATTACCTACATATTTGTACTGAATGTGATTATGTTTTATAGTAACATGACTTTTAAATTCTAAATGTGTTCTAAGAAGATTGACCCGTAAATTAAACCTAGCATTCAACAAATCAATAAACTTTTATCGAGCACCTACTATATGCCAAGCACTCTCTCACATTCTGGGGATATGGCATAGAGGAAGTAATATGAGATCACTGTTTTTATCAAGTCTAATTCTAGAGGGAGGTGATGGGTGATAAACATATAAACAAGTATATAAACATAAGAATGTGACATAAGAAATGCTGTATTAATAATTAACAGGGTGATTGAGCGAGGATGCAAAAGGAGGGTTTATTAATTTACTGATCAGGAGGAACTTCACTGAAGATACTAAAGCTGAGGCCTGAATGATGAGAAGGAACCAGATATGTGAAGATTTAGAGAGGGTTTAGAATTCGGCAGTTGGTCAGAAAGAATATTTCCCCAAGACTTAAATAAGAGAAAAAGTCAGCCAGGCAAATAGCAGAGGGAAGAGAAGTCTTGGTACACAATACAGTTTGCAAAGGTTCTAAAGCTGGAAGCCCTGGAATAATGCTTAGTACGTGCCCATGAAGGGAAAGAAAGGAAGAGTACCAAGAGATGAGCCCAGAGAATAACAGAGATCCTTCCAGGAGGCTTCCGTAGAGCAGGTTGAAGAATATGGAATATCTAATCAGAGGATGACACAACTTGGTTTACAGTTTTGTTCTTCTCTCTCTACTGAATTTTGATTTTCCATTTCAGTGAACTCTTCCCAATAGCATTCAAATGTGCCTTCTGTCATTCATCTTTACTTCACCATCTTTTTCTTTACCATTTTTTCTATCCTAGGCATTTGTCTCAAAAATGTTAACTATGTATGCTTTCTGTAATTCTATTAACTTCTCATCCTTTTAATCTATCTCATTTATCAGCTTTCATCTTACCATTCCCTTTAAATTGTCCTTTTGATCTAATGAGCTTTACTACATCTAAACTCCTTTACTACATGACATTCAGCAATGTCGACTACAGTGACCTTCTGGAAACACTCTCTTTTCTTGGCTTCTGTGACACTGTGTTCCTCTGATTTTCCTTTTACTTTTTTTGGCCCTACCCTCTATAACTCCTATATGCTGACACCTTCCTTTTCTTGAAATTAAATTTTGAAATTACTTAAGGATTAACCCTGGCCTTTTATCTGATATCACCATCTTTCTCTTCTCATGTACATGCAGGCATACACACCACTTTTAATACCACTTATGTGCTAATGACTCCCAATTTCTTTCTTTCCCCAGGCCTCTCTGCAGAGCTTCAGACTCACATATCCAGCTATGTATTTAAAACAATTCTTAGGCACAATCAGAACTGACCTCTAGACCTATGCTCCGAATATGATGCTCATCCCATCTTCTTCAACTCAGTGAAGGCCGTCTTCATCCACCAAGTGCACATTCCATAACTAAGAGTTTGGCCTAATGTATCTTGAATGTTTCTTTTTCTCCATCTCTGTTGTTACCAATCTAGTTGAATTTTCTTTCATTGATACTACTGTCAAGTCTCTAATTGATTTTCTTTTCACTTTTGTCTTTCTAATTTAGAGTCGTCTTTGAAAGATGTAAATTTCCATCAAACTGGTAATTATATGTGAATGTAAATGTAATTTTTCATATGTATATATTTAACATGCATATACTATATATTTCATATATTTATGTCAAAAATAGAAATATCTTTTAGTTCATTTTGCTCACGCTTCCTTAAATAATATAAAAATTTTGTTAGAAGTACTTGGTTAAATATATCTCATTTTCTGACACTTTGTTGAATATTAATATTAAAGAATAATTTTTAGAAGATAGCATCACTGAATTATTGAACTGGATTAGTCCTACAATCATATTTTATGAGTTGGGATGGAAATTATTAGACATCTAGTCTACCAGAGTATATAAAAAATGAGAAAACTCAGAGAAGTTAAATGGCTTACTCAAGGAAAGATAATTTATTAATAATAGAGTTGGGATGGAAATCAAGTATTCTGACTTTTAATCCAATGTTCTTTCTTACAAGATCTTTAAATGCCAGCATAATTACTAGTTATCTAGTATTGACAGCGAAATTAAGACCAACCAATTTCAGGGAATTTATTTGGAGGTTAAATATGACTTTCCAAAACAGAGGATAAGTATCAGGTAGACACTTTCAGATTTATAGGCCTATCCTCTTAAATATACATAATTAAGAAGAAAATATATAAATATACATTGTGTATGTATGTATATACCTACCTATATTTGCTGGAAAGGCGTTTAAAGCTTTTAAATCTCTCCTGATTTTATCACTTCCTTTTACAGAAGGAAAATTTAGACTTATGGCGACTAACCAAACCCAGATTGCATATCTGTCTGAATTATGTCCTCTTCACTCCTCTAATGAAAAGGTAGCTGAATAACATGTCAGACTTGAATGAAGCAAAAAACAAAACAAAACAAAACAGAAAACCCTTTGTTCTTACTTTTCTTCTTAATTTCTGATTTAGAAAAATTTTCCTCTCTAGTGTCATATTTAACAAGTATTCAAATAACAAATCCTAATAACTTGATGTCTATTTCACATAATTTCTTCAACAGGAGAAATGGAGATTTTTAAAAATTGATATTTTGGTTTAACTTTAAAGAAAGCTATAATGGAAACTAAAACTTCAAGTAGTTTTATATGTATTATATTGACAGTTTTCTCTAAGTTTCCTGGTCTTATGACTCGTCGTTTCATTATTAAAACTGTGCCAGTGTATGCACAGGGCTTAGAAATTTTTGAATGCTCACATGTATTAAGTGAAAAACCAGAATGTAAATTTGTATAAAAAGTATAAATACCACTATATGTGGCCTTTTTCTTTCTTTATATACTCTACTCTTCTTAGTTTTCTACAATGAAGATGTGTTAGTTCTGTAATTAGCATAATTGGGAGAAATTTTTTTTTTTTTTTTTAAGACACGGGTGTTGGTCTTGCTCTGTCCACCAGGCTGGAGGCTGGTGTGCATTTGCACGATAAGAGTTCACTGTAGCCTTGAACTCCTGAGCTCTAGTGATCCTCCTATCTCAGCCTCCCAAAGTACTGAGACTACAGGCATGCACCATCATGCCCGGTAATTTATTTTATTTTATTTTTTTGTAGAAATGAGGCCTCACTATGTTGCCCAGGCTTATCTTGGACTCCTGGCCTTAACCAATCCTCCTGCTTCAGCCTCCCAAAGTGCTGGGATTACAGGTGTGAGCCATCACATGTGGGAAGAAATTCTCTAAACTACAAAATGTATTTAGAAGGCAGATTTCAATAATCCAATCTATCCTTGCTAAGAAGGACAGAAGTACTCAGTTTTTCTACGGAGAATTTGTTCTTAGCCACTTGAAAGGGAAGGTACCTAGAGACAGGAAGAAGAGAGCTACTTTCATGTTAAAAACAAAATAAAGAAGAGGTTTTAAATGTTGAATTATTAAACTCCTAAATCTATATCTTCATTTTCTTCTATATAAAAGTGACTAGTCTCTATTCATGACCTAAAAAATATTCTAAAAAGATAATTTTTAAGGTCACAATGATCAATAAATATTTAGAAACTCAATGGACAATAACAAAACCAATGGGATTATGAACTAGAATTGATCAATGCAAACACATGAAAACAAATACATTTCACTTCAGAGGTTTATTTTATTGCTTTCTTGGAACTACAATTAATTAAAAAGATGATTTAAGATAATTTACTTATGCAAATGAAATATTGATTGAAGAAATAATTACAGTTGGTGGGAAAATTGCCATGTTGACATTGGATATTCATATATCATTATAATTTTAAAAATTATTATTTTTCAGTGATAGAAATTGAACTTAAACTAAGATTGGATAAGCACTTACAATAAAGCTAGGCAAAATTCTAAGTCATCGAATAGATAAGTAACTGAATGAATTAGTTAACAAAATCAAATATATTCTCCTAGAAGGCTTATAAGACATTTATTTATTCATTTATCACATGAGGACCTAATTTATTACTGAGGACCTAATCTACAGGAGGTGCAAAGAAGAATGAAACGTTGTGTCTGCCTGTGATGCACATTGCTTAACATGAATACTAAGAAAAATAGTCATCTGTTTCTGTTCCTGTCCCCCTCACTGCAAGGTGATCTCTTTGGGGTTCTAGTACTGTTTCGCACATATCACTTCTTAGAGTCAGTATCATCAATGAATATATTCAATCTGAACAGCTGGCCAACTTTTTCTGGAGGAAAAAGTTGATTGTGTCACATGAGAACTACAAATAAAATTCAATGATTATTCACAGGAAAGATTGCATAAGGTGGGAGTAGGGAGGAGAAATGTGCTTGACTAGAGGATTAGCAGGTATTTAAGAAGCTAAGCAGTATAATTTAGGATGTCTAACAAAGCCATTTATGTAATAGTCTAATTCTACTATATAAACACTAAAACCCTTTCAAGTCCTAATATAATATTCTAGCTCCTCCTTCCTCTGAAGCAGATTTTGACATGTGTAATTCTGGTCTTGGAATAATGTGCCCTCTGAGAACACAGTAAAAACAGAAATGAGTCTTTCAGAAGCCACACAGGCCCAATTTTCCATAGTGTAATGAAGTCGCAACGTCACGGCCATTTCTCCACTTCGGCAGGGGAAGCCAAGACTGCTTTTTGCTCACTGACCTATAGCTGAGGGTCAGTCTTTGAATGTGGACACACTGCCAAGCTAGCTGGGAGTTGCCAGGATTACACAAACCAGAGTTGCAAATGGGGGTTGTGTTGATTTAAGAGAAAAGGCCACAGAAGCCACATCTTTCTTACTTCCTGTGTAATATCCTCTGCTCTGAAATTTTGAAGAAGTTTCTAGAACTACTCATAAGAACATTTCTCTTTTTGGGTACACCTCCTAGCTGACCGAAATTTATGAACAATAGGAAATTTAAGAGCCAGTATGCAAATTAATTTTTATTAAGTATCTATTGGATTCTTAGCAAGAAGAAGAGCTATGGATGGAAAATTACACAGTAAAAAAAAAAAAGTTTTTTTCTAGTATTTATAATTTCAAATCCACAAGAAATGTTAAGAAAACCTAGAGTAAGAACCTGCCCTTCTGTGCGGACGAATGATTGTTCTGCTTTGAAAATCTGCTCTGTGACTAGCCATGTGAACTTGAGTGAGCCACTGCACCTCTCTGCACTTCAGCCCTTCATCTTTAAATTGAAGGACTGGGTCATAGGAATTCATTGTTCCTCACATGTCCTTGGGGACATTTGACTAGATAAGTGTCTTCTTTTGTTACTTTACATAAATTCTTGTGCCTTAGAAAAAATATCAAGGAAAAAGTGGGAATGACCTACTGTTAATCACAGATGATCAGAGTCTGAAGAAATATTCTCTAGTCCAACATTTTACTTTAAAAATGTGGAAACGGAAATGCAGAAATATGAGTTTAGAGGCCTAAGAGCACAGTCGGTGGTAGATCCAATTCCTGCCATCCAGTTCTCTTGCTTCTGTTTCTATTTAAGGCATTTCATAATCCTCCCAAATGTATAGCTTTATTTTCATCTGAAAGTCCTTTTTGTATTGACTGAGGTTCATTTGTTTGTTTCCCACAGCTCTTCGACATTTAACTAGTCATTAAGAACTTAGATAGCATGCGAAATAGCAAGGGCAGAGCTCAATAAATCTTTTTTGGGGAACAGAAGAAATACTTAAATCACAACTTTCCGTCACCTCTTCCGCCTACCTGGCACAATTTAGACATCTCTTAGACAAAAAGAAAAAAAAAATAGTTGAAAAGAAAACTATTATAAAAACTTAGGTGTTAATAACATGTTAATAATATTGGGGGAGAGAGAGAGCTATAAATAAAGATATCAAAACTTTCGGATTCGGCCGGGCGCAGTGGCTCACGTCTGTAATCCCAGCACTTTGGGAGGCCGAGGCGGGTGGATCACCTGAGGTCGGGAGTTCGAGACCAGCCTGACCAACATGGGAAACCCCGTCTCTACTAAAAATACAAAATTAGCTGGGCCTGGTGGCACATGCCTATAATCCCAGCTACTAGGGAGGCTGAGGCAGGAGAATTGCTTGAACCTGGGAGGCGGAGGTTGCAGTGAGCCGAGATCGTGCCATTGCACTCCAGCCTGGGCAACGAGAGTGAAACTCCGCCTAAAACAAAACAAAACAAAACAAAACAAAACAACAACTTTCGTATTCATACCTACATAAAGAAAGATGATTTACCAAGAGTAGTTATTTGTCACAAAATTACGATTACATTTTGGGAAACAATAGTCAAATAAGTTGCAAACATTAGCTTGTCGTGTTCCGAAACCATCTAGAACAAGAACTACAAATAGGACTTATAGTTGTTTCATATCAATAATGCTATAATACTTGGCGATGTACGTGAATATCCTGGAAATTTGCCAGACCTTCTAAACCATGTCCTTTCCATGAACCTCTGTTTAGCAATATCTGAACAAGGAAAAGAAGGCAGTTGATGTGATTTTAATATCATAAGGGACTGCTGGCACACAGAGAGACTTTTTAAAAAACGGTTTTATTATATTTCATTCTATGGACTCTAATCCAATTAATTAATTGATTTCCTGTTATCACACACTCATACTGTTTCCAAGTTCTCTTTGTTTAGCAATGCTACAATGATGTACACTTCTCTCAGAAACATGAGATAGCATCTATTTCCCCCAAATCAGAAGATAATGCTTTTTAACATTATAAATTTTTTCCTATCTCTGGAAAAGTTGCTAAATTTTACGGAAAATTTTTTATATAACAACCTATCCTTCTTTAAAGGAAATGCCTTATGGTCCTTTCAGTTCAGAAAACTACTCAATAAGGACAAGTCTCTTTTTATATTCTTTAAAAAGTCTTCCATGTGGCAGCTGAAAACAAATGTAATAAAGAACCATAGAAAACAGTGCTTGTGGCATTAACATGATTGGAAAAGAGATGGGAAATCCACTTCAATAGTTATATCAGGGAAGAAATGTCTCACCATTTCATCAACAGTAGGTTCAGCTTGTCTTTGATAATGAAATGGACTCCAGCATTCAGTGGTCACCTTCGAAATTAGAAAAGGAAAAAGAGACAACTAATGTCAACATTCTTTAAAAAACAAAACAAAACAAAAAACTCCACAAAGCTGCCAAACTAATTGGGAAAGGATTCATTGTCTTAATTAGAAATAATTATCTTGTTATCAAAGTACACTGATTAATGTTTCATCAGTGACTTCATCTGCATATAGACACATATATAGACAAATGTGGAATATATGTAGGTATATACAGTATACACACATTATATATCCATATATGTGTGTGATATGTGTATGTGTCTATGTGTATTAGATTCACTCCTCAGCCCTCACACAGGGCAATCCCAATCCATGATCTCACATTTAGAAGGGCTGGTGGAAAGAGCGGATCAGGAAAGTTTTATGAAACAGCCCACTGTAATTTCTTAGTGCTCTACATTAAATACATAATGGGCATCCATTTTAGAAACACTGATTGAGTTTAAACTCAAACCAAATATACATTTGGAGTAATATCTCAAGTTATAGTGTGGGATATCTTTTATTACGTTTGGCGCCTGTCAGTGTAACCTTCTTACTCTCAGCTTCTACTCCTTTTGAAAACTTTATGTACCTGATATCAAACAATTTCTACCTAGGGCACTTCAGGACTGCAGCAAAGGGCTATAAAAGGTAAAAAAAGGGTGCTGTGGTCTGAATATTTGTGTTGCTCCCAAATTCGTATATTGGAATGTAATACACAATGTGATAGTGTATTTGTCCATTTTCACATTGCTGTAAAGAAATACGTAAGACTGGGTAATTTATAAAGAAAAGAAGTTGAATTTGCACACAGTTCTGCAGGCTATACAAGAAACATAGTGGCTTCTGCCTTGGGGGAGGCCTCAGGAAGCCTCCAGTCACCGTGGAAGGCAAAGGGGGAGCAGACATTCTTACGTGTCAGGAGCAAGAGCAAAAGAATGAAGGGGGAGGTGCTACACACTTTTAAACAACAGCTCTCATGAGAACTCACTTATTATCATGAGAACAGCACCAATAGGGTAATGCTAAACCATTCATGAGAAATCCAATCCCATGATCTAATCACCTCCTACCAGGCCCCACCTCCAACACTGGGAATCACAATTCAATAGGAATTTGGGCAGGAACACTTATCCAAATTATATCAGATAGTATTAAGGGTGGGACTTTTGGGGAAGTAACTAAGCCATAAGGTCTTTGCCCTCATGAATGGAATTAGAGCCCTTATAAAAGAGGTTCAGGGGAGTTGCCTTGCTCCCTTTTTGAAGCAGACACTGAATTGGCTGGTGCCTTGTCTTGGACTTTTCAGCCTCTAGAGCTGTGAGAAATACATTTCTGTTGTTTACAAATTATCCAGCCTAAGATACTTTGCTATAGCTGCCTGAAAGAAGAAAAAGTGATTTCAGATTTTATTCTGAGGGGAGTCTGCAATGAGATTAAGAAGAATGTAGAGACAGGGCAAATGAATATTCATTAAACATCTTGAGGGAGTATGCTCCTTTATGTAAATATTTACGACAATCACAAGAAGTTTTATTATCACTATTTTACACATCAGGAAATTGAAGCACAGAGAGTTTAAGCAACAAGTTTAAAGTGCAGTGTTTTTACTCACATAAAGGTAAGGCAAGTTTGGTTTCCATAAAGTCTAAACCCCAGCAGAATTCTTGAGTTCTAGCTCATAAAATATAGCCAAAGAACAAGAGTTTTGAAGCAGAAAACTGATAAAGTAGGTGAAGTGACTGAAACAAGTGCCAAGTGGTTGGATTTTATTTTTGCCACAGTGTGTAGCCTGCGGGTTCTTAAAGGACTGGACCCATATGTTCAGGTTTGTTACATTTTAAGGATGCTACCTAGTACCCAGGGCTTGACACAGTATATAAGAGTGCATTTACTAGCCATTTTCTGGGTTGCAAAATTCCTTTTTAAAAATGAGTGAGAATGATGCTAAGAAATACCAAATAAGTCCTCTCAACCTTTTAGGGCAATCCAAAAGGAAAACACCCATACATATGTGGAGTTCATTCATAAAAATCATTTGTTAGAATCAAGTATTTCCTCTTTTTTAAATAAAAGTTAAATGTAGAGTTGCTTAAACTCTTTTCTTTAAAAGTGAAAGTATACTTATCATAAATGCAGTATAACTTTGGATAAGGAAATGAGAAAATCCAATATGATCTTAATTTTATTTCACCAGAAACAAGAGATTTGGATTCCATGTTAACATCCTATATTTCTTTAATACCAACAGAAGCCACTCTTGAAAGTTGTTTACTGTTAAAGAGAGGAGATTAGATTTTTTTTTCAAGATAACAAAATACAGCACTATATTCTTTCTACCTGCAAAATAAGTTATAATCTTGCTCTTTGGAAGTGGGAAACTTCTCCATCTATAACCTCAAACTAGTATAGTTCTAATGGTTTTAAAATATGCTCATAAATTCTTTTACAGAAGAGGTCTTCAGAAGGTGGATCATAATACTGCCCCCCCACCCTTAGTGTGAGCTGGATTTAGTGAGTTGCTTCTAACACATAGAATAAAATGGAAGTAATGATGTTTAACTTCTGAAATTAGGTCCTAAAAGGAATTGTGGCCTCTTCTTGTTCTGTGTCTCAGATGCTCACTCTGGGGAAACCAAATGACATTCTATGAAGACACTCAGCCTCATGGATAGACCAAAGTGGCAAGGGACCTAACCCTGCAGTCAACTCCCATCAAAAAACTGAGGTCACCTGCCTACAGCCATGAGAGGGAGTTAGCAACAAACCTTTCAGCCCCAGTCAAGCCTTCAGATAACACCTTGAGAGACACTAACCACCTGAGATTATAACCACATGAGAGATTCTAAGCTAGAAATGCCCAGCTATACCACTCCCCAACTCCTGACCCACAGGGACTGTGAAAAAATTTTTTGTTTGTTTTAAGCCCCTAAATTTTAAAGTAATTTGTTATGCATCAATAGATATGTAATACGATAGTTAAAAGTCATACAATGGATAAGAAAGTACTCGAAATAAGAAACATTGATCAATACACAATATCATTATTTCATCATAATATAATCATTTCATACACAAAGACTATCATTTGGTTGACACTGTCATTTTGAACTCTTTTTGTTTGTTTGTTTTCTACCTTTTAGATTGTTCACATTTTTGTTTAGAACTGCCTCAAATCTGTCTGATAAAACCTAGTGGAAGACCTGTCTCTCCTGCTTGTTAATATATCATAGCATAACCTTAAATTATTTATCCAGTGACCCAGTATTGTGACCTTGGTTAAGCTGATGAAAAATTGGTGCCGTTTTGTCCATTCTACATGCATTTCCCAAAAATTGTGTGCTATGTTGGATATAGTTTTAATTCTGTATATAGCCAATGGGATGTGTATAGCTAATATTTTATTTGTTAGTAATCCAATTTTCATCTTAAGGATTAAATGACTAACTCTAAATGCTGTTTACACTACATGAGAGCTGAAGGAGACTAGTCTAGTTTGTGCAATAAGAGGTGAGTGTAGACACTGTTTAACTGTGGACACAGTTTTGTCTGATTGCTTACATAGAGCAGAGTTCAGCATTAGCAAAAGTGACTGTTTTAAAAATAAGGTATCAGGAATGTATTCAGCTTTGAGGAAGAGAATAACCAACAGTGGTTGCTTAAACAAGTATGGGGCTTATGTTTCTGTAAAATAGAAGTGCAGACATAGAGTTTCCAACCTGGGTGCAGCTTCTCAAGGATGTCCTCAGTGAATCAGGCTCTTTGCATGTGCCTGCTCCACCGTCTTTCATGTCTGCCTTTGCCTCACGGCTGGAAGACAGCTGCTGATTTACCAGGTATTACATCCAGCTCCAGGCAGGAAAGAGAGCAAAAAATAAAGCTTTGTCCTTATAAGACTCTGTCTTATTTTTTATTTTCCAGAAAAAGAAAGTCCTCCTCAGGAATTTCGGACTGTATTTCATTGGCCAGAACTGGATTCCATGACCACCCCTAACTACCGGGTAGGCTGAGAATTCAAATGCTGAAAATTGCAGTCTCCATAGTGAAAGACATGAAGAAAGAAATTGATTGAAATGAGTTAATTAATTCAATTAGCAACACTTTTTCTCAGTGAAGGAGCTCAGAAAGAAAATGTTTTGGTTCAGTCCTGGGTACGGATGCTGGACAGCGCTTAATATCACCAGCACTGAAGGTAATAAATATTATCTCTCTTTTCTATCATGAATATGAATGATACTCGGAAGGCTGAATGCAACCTAGGAATTTACGTGAGAAATGAGGCATGCAACACTTTTGAAAATATATTAGCCCAAAGTCTGTATTACTGCATATTTTATTCCCCTTTTAATATGCTACAAAACGTTTGAGCCATCAACTGAATGCTGCCAGAGAAGAACAAACAGGAACAAGAATGCAAAAATAAATGCTGGGAGTCAAGTTTTCACAAGATGTTCTTTATGGTTGGTATGATCACAGTGCTAAGCAGACTGAATTGCTTCTAGCTCTATCCATCAGCACTTCTTCCATAAGCCTGGTTCTCCAGGAAGTTTATCCCAGGCTATCTATGCAGAAATGTATATGGGGCAAAGTGGGTACTGGAGAAAGCATTCCCTGAACTCCTTCTCTTGCCCCTGCTACCTGATTCTTTGTAACTTCTTCCATGCCTGAGATCTTCTCTTCTATTTTGAGAACATGAAGGAAACATGTTTGCTTAAGTATGTTCTGATTAGGATTTAAATATTTAATTCTGATCATTTTTAGTGTCTGAAATATATTTTGTAGGCATGGTCAAATGATAATTATAACTATAAAATGTTTTACATTCTACAAACTTTATCCCATGTTACTAATATTCAGGAAATGATCATAGGAAAATATTTACACTAGGATACTGTTCAATATTTTAACGGTTTCTATTTATACATAGTTTTAAGAAATTCTACAATGAATTTATATCATCTCCATAATAGGGAACAAAAATCGACTTCACTTTTTCCAGGAGGCTGTTGTCTTCCAAGATCATAATTAAACCAAGTTTGGGTTTATAGAGTTAAAATCATGAGATATCCCATCTGTGAACACATATTCATGGCTATAATTTGGACGTTTGTTGTCTCCAAACTTCATGTTGAAATTTGACCCTCAATATTGGATGTGGGGTGATATGGTTTCATTGTGTCCTCACAAAAACTTTCATCTTGAATTATAATCCCTATAATTCCCACATGCAAGGGCGGGATCAGGTGGAAGTAACTGGATCATGGAGGCAGTTTCCCCCATGCTCCTCTTGTAATAATGAGTGACTCTCACAGGATCTGATGGTTTTATAAGCATCTGGCATTGCCCCTGCTCGCACTCACTTTGTCCTGCCACCCTGCGAAGAAGGTACCTTCTTCTCCTTTGCCTTCCACCATGGTTGTAAGTTTCCTGAGGCCTCCCCAGCAATGGGGAACTGTGTCAATTAAACCTCTTTCCTTTATAAATTACCCGGCCTTGGGTATTTCTTCATAGCATTGTGAGAGTGGACTAATACATGGGGCCTGATGGCAGGTGTTTGGGTTATGGGGCTGGATCCCTCTACAATAGATTAATGTTCTCCCTCAATGGTGAGTTCTCACTCTATTAGTTCTTGCAAGAGCCGGTTGTTTCAAAGAGCTTGGCACGTACCTCCCCCTGCCTTGCTTCCTCCTTTGCCATGGAATCTCTGGGTCCCCTTCACCTTCAGCCATGAGTGGAAGCAGCCTGAGACCTTCACCAAATGCAGATGCCCAATCTTCAACTTTTCAGCCATCATAATTGTGGCCCAAATAAACCTTTTTCTTTATAAACTACCCGGTCATAGGTATTTCTTTATTTTGTGTTTATTATTGTTTCTTTATTTTGTGTTGTATTATTGCAACACAAAATGGACTAAGAGACTCACCAACTCTCTTGAATTCAAGAGTTTCATGGTTTATGTCCTGAACATTGTCACATAAAAATACCACTTCCTAGGCTCCAGTCATGACGATCCAGGTGAACAGGAATATGGCACCAAATGTCTGCCTTTTTAAGTAATACTCCCGTTGAGTCTGATACAGACAGTTCCCAGGTAGGCTTGGAAAAACACTTATCTGATAGTCATTTGTTCACTGATGGAAGGCCAAATTTCATGCCATAGTCCACTCTTATGCCCACTGACAAGCCACTTTGCTACTCACACCAGCTTCTCCATTTGAGAGTGGTTCCCTGTCTTCCCCATCTTTCAACAGATAAATTGCATCTCCTTCTCCTCAGTCACAAGGAGTTAATACATTAATATTTTGCATAATACTCCTTGTTAAACTATTCTGTCATATAGATAAGTGTTTCTTAGTTAAATTCAATTGAATGTCTACTGTGAATAAAATTTAGATAAGACCAGTGCCTCCTCCCAAATGAGGATTTTTAGATTAGATGGCTCCTGTTTGTCTGCCACTAGGTACGAATTCCTTCGGTTTTTACACTACATGGCACAATTGAATGGTTACCATTTGGAAGCACCATTTCTTGGCCAATTTTAACCTTCAGAAGAATTGTTCTTAGGGTAAAGATTTATCTTCAACCATTTTCTTCAAAGAACTTTCTATGTTACTTTCTTCTTTCCAAGAAACGGGTCTATTTTTCTACTAAAAACCTACAGAAGGATTTCTCTTGGCACAAGGCAGCCTAGGAAGCTATTCCAGTAAACCAGCTGTTATTTTTCTCCTGGCTATCAGACAATGCTTCACTTAGATATTACATCTGAGGTCTCATCTGAATTTAGGAAAATGAGACTGCTTGTTTCAGAGATAATCTTCCAGCTGTGCTTGCGCAAGTCTCATTAAGTCCTTGAAAGAGTAAGAGGAGAAGGAGGGTGAGGGAGAAGGGGAGAAAAGAGGAGGAGCAATGACAACAAATGAATTTTTAAAAGTATGTCTTAACTACCAGACATAGAACTACAGTGTTTTAATGACATGTCTCACTGAATCCCATGAAAGTTCTGAGATATTTTTTATAGATGTATTTTACAGATGATAAAAACCAAGGCAGAGAGAGTCTAAGTAAATTGCACAATGCCATATAGCTACTAACAGTCAAAGCAAGATTCAAAGTGAGCTCTGTCTGATATCAGAGCTCTCATCCATGCACTGTGGGAGAACCCACTGGGAGACAGTACTCGGGCAATGTGTTACCACGTCTTGTAGCATAGGCCTATCACTCTGGTAGCATCAGAGCAGCCAGCAGAAACTGTAGTGGATCAAAATCACAACCTACCATCCAATTTATTGGAGGGTCTCCAATAGCCTCAGGAATCAGGCTGGATTTAGGAATGTGAGCCCCCCTTACTCACCAAATCAGCACTTTACAATTTATATGCTATGTACCTTCTATCTACTGCACCAAAGAAGTTCAGTTCCAAATTTCTAATGAAACTATCAGAATGATTAAAGAGAACCTCATGGCTGTCAGAAAAAATATCAAAAGTCAGTCTGATGCCTGAATTGGCCTTGTTGACTCATATATCCTCTCTTTTTACAGGGTGAAGAGCAAGTATTTGGCTATTGATTAATGTTACGTTACGATTGTTAGTGAGGCCAAACATTGAGACAGTTTTAATTGTCCAAACTCCTGGGCTAATTAATGCAATTTGGAAAGGGATTGGTCAGGACTCACAGTTTATGTTTTTATCTAAGGTCTTGACAGAGAACATCCCAGTATATTAATTTAATATTCCCAGAGTTACTTATCAAAAGGCTGTACAATATGATGTTTTGCAAAATCAAAGTAGTTTATTATCTTGTCATCATCGAATTTTTTTCATTTATATTTCAGTTCACAGGGACATAAGCATATCAGTTACGAAACAACCCTATAATAACTAAATACAAAATAGCTACAAGGCTGTGTATATATTGTCCACTGTGTCTAATATATTACAGAGCTGAGTAACAAGATGATTTTCACAAAACACGTAAATGCCGATTATTCACATTACCTGATAGGAAGTTCCTTGTAGAGTTTTTCCTTGATGAGTATGTATGTTGTTACTTAGAAAATCATCTTCATTTAGATCTAAGAAAAGAACTAACTGTTACATACAGAATATCAGAAATTACATGATTTAGGAAGTTTAGGTGCAATGTAACACTCATGTTTTTATTTAGTCTGTAAGACATTACATTGGATAGGTCAAAAATATTTTTTTCTTAAATACATGCTTTTTTTTTTCTACAAGAAAAAGATCAAAATAAAATAGAAATTTAACAAAATAGGTATGCTGCTGACCATCTGTGTCCCTGAGGAAGTGATGGAAATTCACTGTGATTTCCTTTCTTGGTAATAATAGGATTGTGGACTAGCTACAAAAGCCACTTCTAACTTCAAAATGCTATGACTCCATGCAGTTATCACCTCACCTGTTTCTATTAAACTAAGCCTTCCACCCCTGGCATTTTGAGCTTCATTAGCTTAGGTCTTCTCAACATGAATTATTTATGCTGAAATTGTTCTATGCATGCTTTAGTAAAAGCTTTGCAATGTAGCATCCATTTGCTTGCAGCTAAATGAAACCTTTTCAAATGTAGCAGCACTACCCTTTTAGCTCCTGTAAATGGGAGCTTCATTTACTTAAGTCTGAAATACATGGTATGTTAAAAGAGGACAAGACTTTATGCGTCACTTAATCCAAGCCTCTTATTTTACAGATGAGGAAAGTGCGACCCAACATCACCTCCAGGCCAATGACGTTTCCTTTCACTTTCACCCCTCTTTACTTGCAACCATTGCTTCAGTTTTCTACTATTCCTCATTCTCATATTCTGCAGTGAAAGCGAGGACAGGCAAGTCCTATCTTCCATGCACAGTGAAAAACAGGTACAGATTTTTCTCCAGATCTCCATCATAGCTATAGTTAAAAGATAGGTTAAATTCACAGCTCAGTCTCAAAGTTACTTGCACCAATAACTTAGTATTTAAAACGAGACTAACCATACAACAGGATTCCAGAAAGCACCTAAATTTTAAAATGAGCTGATTTTGTGATCTGGTTCTTTGAATCAAGAATTTATGTCACAGGGTCAGGCTGCTAGAAGCTGAGTTTTTGCAGCTTGGTTTTTAGTTTCTGTATTGAGAAAAAGAAATATTGCCTCCCTTCTTTTATTCCTTTCTGTGTTGTCTCTTTTAGTCACCTTTTTACAGGAATTTTGAATTACTCTTTCTATAGCCATTCTTCTGGGTATAGAAAAAGAACAGTAAAGTGGCCTCCTGTGTTCTAGAGTCTGGAATCAAGCTTAGAAAATAAGATACGAATATGTGCAATGCACTTACATAACAACACAAGGCAGAAAAATGAGTGATTCATACACAATACGATGGAGAGAGATCACTACGACTCCGAGAACTTGTGGAAGAGACAGGGCCAGAATGGAAGCTTGAAGAATGGATACAGTTTGAAAAAGTGGAAGGAAAGGAAAAGGTGTAAATTTAGCAGTGATGCCATGAACTCTGGCCTATTATGCAGCATAAATGGAACATGTTTAATTAAGTGTAGAGATTGAGGCTGGTTAGGCCAGAGGGCGATTCTGGATACAGAGTAAGAGGAGGTAGGGCTGGATAGGTGACTGAGGCCCAATTGTAATGGGCCCTGAATACCAGGCGGAAGAATTTGAGCATAAACCATTAGACCAATGTTGTAAGTATAAATATCTACAGGAATCAAATATATAACTAAATGAAGTTAATTCGATCAAGAAGGCAATGGGGATCCTACAGTGAGCTTAAGATCCAGCTCCCCAGCTACAGGGTAGCCATGGCTCCGAGCTCTCTCAGTTGAAGTCACCCAAGACTTTGGGTCCTGGACTGGCACTTTCCCTCGTGTTTTTCAAGGGTATACAAACGTATGGATTTTCATGTAAAATGTCCTGATTTTTAAAACATCATATGGCCCCACCAAGCTTTTCTTCTGAATAAATTCAGCTATAGAGGTACCATTTCACAGCCCCGCTGTAGAAAATGGGGGACCTTTAAGGGTTGGGACTAAATTAGGCAAACTTAAACCTTTGGTGTCTGGTCTTATACGTTTTTATTTATTTATGATTCCCAAATATTACCCTCCAAAAAGTGCTTTATAAAGACAAAATCTATTTGGTCCTAAGTAGCAACAAAGGCAGGAGTTGAATTAGACAATATGTGGGCTGTATTTTCCAAAGTTGGCCACAACCATGCCTTCCCATTCCATCAAGAAATTGAGTCTAATTCTTCTCCTGTTGACTCTGGGGTGATCTTAGTGACTCACTTGTCACAGTAGAGTGCAGTGGAAGTAATATTTTGTGATTTCCAAGGTTAGGTTAAAGAAGCCTTGCATAAGCCAGGGGCAGTGGAGCACCTACATCCCAGCTGCTTGGGAGCCTGAGGCAGAGGGTTGCTTGAGGCCAGGAGTTTAAGATCAGCTTGGGCAACAGTCAGGTCTTGTCTCAAAAAGCAAAAAACAAACAAACAAAATTACAAAACAAGAAACCATGCAGCTTCTACCTCGGGCTGTTGGGATCTTCATTCCTAGACACTTCTTCCTGTGATGTGTGAAGCTCCCTTGCATGTTGCACACACTTGAAACCCAACCCTGAGGCTGGGAGAAGCTGGAGCGACATGAAAAGGCCACATATAGGTTCTTTAGTTGGCTGCCCAGCTGAGCCGAGCCTAACCTAGACTAGTTGTCAGACATGTAAGTGAAGGAGCCTCTATAAGACTCCAGCTACCAGATGTTTAAGTCCTCCCCAGTCATTCAAGTCTTCCCAAATGAAGCCTCAGACATCACATTGCGGACCAGTTCCCCAACTGAATTACTGACCTGCAAATGTATGAGCCTAATAAGATGTTCTGTTATACCACTAACTATTGGACATCACATTGCGGATGATTCCCCAACTGGTACTGACCTGCAAATGTGTGAGCCTAAAAAGATGTTCTGTTATACCACTAACTATTGGACATCACATTGCGGATGATTCCCCAATGAATTACTGACCTGCAAATGTATGAGCCTAATAAGATGTTCTGTTATACCACTAACTATTGGACATCACATTGCGGACCAGTTCCCCAGCCTGAATTACTGACCTGCAAATGTATGAGCCTAAAGATGTTCTGTTATACCACTAACTGTGGACATCACATTAGGACCAGTTCCCCAACTGAATTACTGACCTGCAAATGTATGAGCCTAATAAGAAATGTATGAGCCTAATAAGATGTTCTGTTATACCACTAACTATTGGAATGGTTTGTTTGCTGCAATAGATTATCAGAACATTCATGAACTACCTCGTAGATTACCAACATCAATGTGCATAAAAATATGCCATCCAGCATAAAAATTGAGATTACAGTTGCCCTTCAAATACAGAGGCAGTAAAAGGAATAAAAGGGATGTAAAAAAAAGTTTTTGTTTCTAATCAGTTTTCAGGTTTTCTACCATAGATACTTCTGACTATACTACTTTTCAAACAGGCAACTCTAATCTCAGTAAGAACTCCTCTAAAGAATTAAAGGATCCGAAGATTCATTTGAATAAAACACTAGAAGTCTAAGTGGTCTCATCATTGAATTCAGAAAGCCTTCCTTGGATACATGAGGCATCACACCATGCAGTGGGTACCCTTTCCTCAGGGACTTTATTCCCATCTTGTAAGCAAGCATTTAGAGGTGTGAAGTAGGATTTCCCTCTGGTGTTCCTTATGTAGTCCAGTTTGGCCACGGTTAAATTACCTGCCCTTGGGAAACACGTTTTTCTAAAATTAAATGTGTGTTTCCTGAAAATTAACCAGAATGGTGAATATATTTGTGAATTTATACCATCGTTTGCCATCTTAAAATTAAGCTACTTGGCCTCAGGCCAATGAAGAAAAATAATTAATAAGATCTTGAAAAATTAAGCCAAAATATTTATAAGCTTACATTGAAGAGGCTGGACAAATAATGATATTGACCAGAAGTCAGGAGAGAAATTAGGTTTCAAACCAATGGTAATTGAAATGGTGGACTAGAGTAGAAGTCCTTAAGAACACCTCTTCTTTCCTTCTGGGTTCCTCCTTTTATAATTAATCTCATCAAAGCCACATGTAAAGAAGATTTATTTTTAAAGTAAGTTTGCAGTAGTATAGGTGAAGTTAATGTTTCTCTTATTACTAACATTGTTTTCTGACTTTGTCTGGTCCCTCACTTTCCTTAGTAATATATGCCATTTTTCCCCAGCTTTTTCTTGTAGAATAGTCTGTCACAGTTACACTGATTGATTAAAAAATTTCTGAATCTCCAAATAAGTTTTGTTTCCTTTTTATTATTTTTTAAAAGTTGATTTATTTTTATTCTTTGTACTTTCTGGTATAAAATATGAAAATCCTATTCTTGAAATTATCTTTAATTAAATCATAACTGAATCTTAGGTAAACTCCAACTTACAGATTCAAAAGTTTGTTCTTCTCAATTCTTTTTAGTAAAGTCGAATAAATTTAAATATTTTTAAACGGACTTTTACTAAAATAAATATTACAAATATTCTTCCTATTTATAATGCCAAAAACTTAACAATTAACCTGAATTATAGATTAATTTCTCCTCACACCTAAGCTATGCCAATTTTTTAGTTGTAAAGCCCTAAGCACTCAATTTATTCTACATTATCTTACAGATGTAGTCTCTTTTAATAGAACAGATGTAGGCTTAGATAAAAATCTCCTTAGAAGAAGGAAATGGACTAGATAAATTAAAAATATTATGCATCTGGAACCCAACTTATTCTGACAAATTTGGCCTTAACCTATATAGTACAATCATGTTGTTGAGCTATGGATTAATATACCAGACACAAATCTTAGCTAAATATAGCCTGTGGAATCTTTTCATCAGGTCCCAATATTCTTTAGGGCTGAAATGCTATTAATATAATGTGTTAATGTCAAAATATCATTTTGAAATTGAAATTGAGGAAAATTGCCTTTTTTTGGCCTTGAATTTTATATGTTTGCTTAGGACTTAATGTCACTCCTACAGTTTATTTCTCTATATATTTTCTTCTAGTTTATTGAAGCTGTCTTTACAATTTCATCATTAGTATCTAGTAAAATCATGTGGGCTGTGGATGACAACAATGATGCACTTTCCCATCTTCATCTCACTGAACTCCGCAGACTGTCTATCCTCAGGCAGAGTAAACTAACCCTAAGTAATTATGCAATTAACAGCTAAAAAGGAGTGTTTAAAATGAGAAAGAAATATTTTAGGTTGATACGTAGGTCACTAATTACTTAGAAATACTCTGAACCCTCCAAATGAAACCACTATACCCATAAAATTAGAGCCTACAACTTGTGGCCTTGAATTTCTCCCTTCAATTTATAATGTTACAGACAGCCTTGGTCTCTGGCCATCAACTCTTCCTAGTATGGCATTAATCTCTAGGAAATGTCCAGTGACTCAACTGCTGCTACTGAAATGTCTGCTGAGGCTCTTGGACACACACACATGCGCACGCATTCGCTGAACACACACGGTCACTCAAGACCCTGAGAAATATCAAAACTGGGAAAAATTCTGTAAAGGCTTGCTTTCTTCCTTCTCTGACAAAGCAACCAGAAGTAACTCACCTAAGGCCAGGATTCTTTGCTGCTTTTTCAGTGTAGCTATAATAGGATTCCCTGCCTTTTATTCCCAAACTAACAACACAAAACAAAAAGCGTACATAAGAGAAAGGTAGTTTTAGGAAATAGACTACTTGAAGAAATTTATGGAAAAATTTATATCTACAATACTCTTTAACACCGTTATACCTTCTTTATCCATAGATCAATATACAATAATCTAAAATACAACAGGTGCTTATAGAAGGATTAATAGATAAACGGAATGGTGGATGACTAGAGAAACTGATAGACGAGTGTTTGATTAACTGACTGAAGGTGTGGATGCATATAGCTGGCATCCATGTGGTAAAGACAGAGTCCAATCCAAACATGAGAGAGAGGGAGGTGGAGCAAGGTGGCTGAACAGAACCCTCAGTAATCATCCCTCTCACAGGAATAGCAACTTGAATAGCTCTTCACACAAGAGAGCACCTCCATAAGTAAGTAAAAATCGAGTGAGTGATCACAATACCTGGTTCTAACATCATATCCTTGAAAGAGGTACTAAAAAAGTAGGAAAGGCAGTTTGGGATTGCTGACTCCACCGCCCTCCTCTATCCCTGGTGGCATCCTCATGGTGCTGAGAGAGAATCTTTGTGCGTGGGGAAGGGAGAGCCAAGTTATTGTGGGACTTTGCATTGACCTCAGTGCTGTCTCTCACAGTGGAAAGCAACACAGGGCAAAATTCAGTTATCGACTACAGGGGGAGCATATAGACTCGCCCCCAAATTCTGACTAGCCCCTCCAGAGTGGGCTGAAGCACTTTAGGGTCCTAAGTAAACTTGAAAGGCAGTCCAGACCACAGGACCTGAAATTCCTGGGCAAGTCCTGGTGCTGTGCTAGGCTCAAAGCCAGTGGAACTGAGGTGCACATGATCCAGTAAGACATCGGCAGGGATGGCCAAAAGAATGCTTTCATCACCCCTTTCCCAATCCCAGGCAACACAGCTTGCAGCCCCAGGAAAGACTCCTTCCTTCCGCATAAAGAGAGGACACTGGAGAGTAAAAAGGACTTTGTCTTGCAACCATAGAATACAGCACTAGGCAGACTCCTAAGGTTCCCAATCCATTCTTCACTCCCAGGTGAAATTTCTAGATTCTTGAATCATCAACAGCTAATATAATCAATTTTTTTTTCTCATTCCAATAACCCTTGGGGGTGAATACCAAGCAGATCAACTTTTGATACTGTTTTTCATCTTTGTAAACTCTTAAGACTTTCTGTTTTACTTGTCTTCCCAAAGTTAAGTAATTTTAATTATGAAATCACTTACTATTAATATGTTATTCTACACTTGACTGCTAAGTTACTCTCCTGGAAATTTTTAAATTATAAAAAGACCTAATTATACATTCATAATCAAGGTTATTTCTCTTACATTTTTTAAGAAGACCTAAACATAACTATTAACATATCGATGTTATCTTTAGAGTTTTTTTGTGCTCTAATTTTTATTTATTTTTTTTAATTTTTATTTATTTATTTTATTTTATTTTATTTTATTTTTTTGAGATGGAGTCTCGCTCTGTCGCCCAGGCTGGAGTGCAGTGGCCAGATCTCAGCTCACTGCAAGCTCCGACTCCCGGGTTCACGCCATTCCCCTGCCTCAGCCTCCCCAGTAGCTGGGACTACCCGCGCCCGCCACCTCGCCCGGCTAATTTTTTGTATTTTTTTAGTAGAGACGGAGTTTCATTGTGTTCACCAGGATGGTCTCAATCTCCTGACCTTGTGAACCGCCCGTCTCGACCTCCCAAAGTGCTGGGATTACAGGCTTGAGCCACCGCGCCTGGTCTAATTTTTAATGTATTTTCAAATTCTTTTTGTACATTAAAACTTTCAGTTTTCTTTTCAATTGCTTATTTGCTTCAGCAGGCAACTTAACTAGATCCCACTTCCTTTCTGTACATGTGTGATGTTTATACACATATGTATATGTATACATGTATATATTAATAGTTTATAATAATGCATATTCTATTCTATCTTATTTGGTTTTCTTTTTTAAGTAGACCACAATATTCCGCTTATTTTCATGGTGAAAGATGTAAATTTTTCTTACCTGCCCTTTAAACTACTTTGGGAAAATGCAAAGTCAGCTGAACTAAATTTAGCAATTACCTTTTAGCTGACAGGGCCTTCTGATGTGGGAATCATTCTTATGCTTGCTGTGTTCCTGCCAGATTTTGTCATTCACAGTTTTTCCTTCTAAAGTGAAGCAGAGAATTAGTTAGAATTCACAGTAACATTTGTCCAGTAAGTATAAGACATTTGAAATCAAAACAAGTTCAGCACGGGGCTTGTAACTTGGTAAGTGATATCTTAAGAGAGCTCTAGTTCTAGGGAGTTCTAGTCCCTCATGGACAACTGCAGGTATCCTGTGGGCTACCCACTTATTCCCATGAACTACATAGGCACCTCACCATATATGATAGAATGCTGTTACTCTAATGTCTCTTGACAGTTTATGATTGCATTATTCTTTGTAGTAGTTTTCTTGAATTCATAACCAATTATTATTATGATTACTTTTTTGAGACAGGATCTTACGGTCTTACTCTGTTGCCCAGGTTGGAGTACAGTGGTGTGATCATAGCTCATTGCGGCCTCAAATTCATAGGCCATAGCTATCCTCCTGCCTCAGTTTCCCAAGTAGCTGAAACTACAGGGATGTGCCACCATGATAGGCATATATATATATATATATTTTTTTTTTTTTTGTAGAGACAAGGTCATAATCAATTGTTTTTATGCATCCTTAAAAGGTTAAAGTATCCTTACCCTCAAGATTCCCCATCATTTCTAACAAACTAATTGTGTAGAAAGAACACTGAGATGTGATGGTTTCAAGAAACTCTAAGATCCTTGAACGGAAGGTCAATGATTTGCTCAACTTTGTCCTCCCAACATCTAAAGCAGGGCCTGGACATGTGAAGAAATGAATTGTACCAAATGGAAAATTGGAGTCCCTTCTAAATTACTTACTACAGATAAATCTTTCTACATGTTCTATCATACATTGATAAAACAAATGTTAAATAATGCCACCAATGCGTAGCGTGAAGACAAACTCAGCATGCTGTGTTGTTTCTAAAGTCACTATTTGCTCATATGTTTTGATTATAGAAAAGGCAGTTGATCATCAAGAATTGTGTTAGGATAGAAATATTGGTTGTATTGTATGTACGTGCTGAATAGACTGAGAATGGATCTAGATGAAAAAGAAAATTTTGCCTTACTTCCTTTTATTTAAGACTATGCGCTATTCAAATCAGGGCTGATATTCAAAATATTTAACAGCGAGTGACTGCAGGACCCTGATAGGATCCAGCATCTGTAGATGTTACTGCTGGGAGAATTGCAACCTGATTAAAACGCAGATACCCTTTAAAGTTGTACCCATTGTGGGGTATCACCTTAGTCAGAATGAGCTTTTCAGATTCTACCAGAAAATTGGTTTTTTAAAAAGAAGGAAATGAGTATGAGCACCCGACTCCTCTGCTGGGGAGAAGGAAAGGGAAAAGGGCACCCACAAGTTTGGCACATTACATTAAAAAAAATTATTGAGGCCCGGTGTGGTGGCTCATGCCCATAATCCCAGCACTTTGGGAGGTCGAGGCAGGTGGATCACGAGGTCAAGAGATGGAGACCATCCTGGCAAACATGGTGAAACTCCATCTCTACTATACAAAAACTAGCTGGGCGTGATGACACGCACCTGTAGTCCCAGTTACTCTGGGGGCTGAGGCAGGAGAATCGCTTGAACCCGGGAGGCAGAGGTGGCAGTGAACCCAGATCGCACCACTGCACTCCAGCCTGGCAACAGAGCAAGACTCCGTCTTAAAAATAAATAAATAAATACAATTATTGACTGGATGACCCAGATGTTTCACCATTGTGAATGTTTTATAATTACTGACTCCCTATTTGCTGTAAAGTAACAAGAGAGATAATCTATTAACTTTCTAAAAGTAATGAATAGAAATCGATGTTTACTTTAGAATTAAAATACAAACCAAACGGATTGCATGTGTTATTACTATGAATGCTATCACAAAAACTAAAGAGAAGATTTGGTGTGTGAAATGTTGTAGAAGAGACTTTTATAATAAAACCACTTTCTGCTAACTTTTTATTGTCTCCTAGATTCACAGATCTAAAAAGATCTCTAACAAGTCACCTTGGCGATGCAGCAGCCAAGTTACACATGGAGAGCTGGAAGATGATCAGCCAACGAACTACCAGAGGATTATTCTGTTTAAATATAACAGGAAATTATTGCAAATAAATCAATGATTTCTTTGTCATAGCCATTTAAAGTTAGAATGAAGCCACTTTTAAAAAATGTTCTTCTATATAATTCAAAGACAACTCAATTTGACTTTCATTAATCAGTTTTGTTGCTTTATGGCAGGAGCAGGAGAAAAGAACTTTTGGGGAGACAGAATACATCATTTACACTTGTAACTTTGGGAATCACTAACCAAATATTTTATTTTCAGACATAAATCTCCGGAATAACCTGGAAGAATAAAAGAAACAATATTTAAGTCTAGATTTAATAAATAACATCTTAATCAAACAGAAATTAGAATGTGTGCAACACTTTGGGAGCAGAAATGAATTCTACCTCTAACTAAGGTCTACCTATGATCTTGAATCTTCCTAACCCTAGGTGGCAAATTACAGTAAATACAAGTATAATTTGGGTCTATAAATTTCTGTGCTATATGGAGAAACCGATATTCATAAAACCTGAACAAAATGGCAAGTCATTTTACATGAAAATATCTTAGGATAACCAAATAGTTACTGGGGGGAAAGTGTTTTTCCAAATAATTATGTTAGTAAATACAGAATGAATGATGTAAATTGAATATAACCATTATGCAATCTCTAATAAAATAACAGATCTGGAAAATAATCACCAATTACTGATAAAGCCTAATTGAAAGGCTGATAGGCAACTTCATGCCGAATGGATCCACCTGATACCATCTGAACCACTGAGCAATATCACTGTCATAAAAATATGATCGTGCTAACCAATTCATGTGTGTGGGTGAAAACACACATATCTCATAACTGACATTGTTATAGCTTAAGTGTTTTCGACTATTGATATTCTTCAATGTCATTAAATTAAAACCGAGGTTACCCTTTTTTTAAGCTCGAAATTGTGAACAAAAACATGCATAGATAAGATTTCCTTTTTCTTAATTTTTTTTTTCCTTTTAATTTTTTAATGCAAAATGGTTAGGACATCTCTTGGCACATAGCAAACAATTCCAAACAAATAAGCTATTTATAATATTGTAAAGTGAGGTAGGTAAATAACAGCAAGACTAGACATATAGCTTACAATACAACAAAAGAGAAAGTGTGTAGTCACTCAAGATCAACTTTTAAATATACATATAAATATATATATTTGGACCTTGTCATACTTTATATATATTTGAATCTTATCACACTTTGAGATTTAACTAAAAGTTTACAGGAAACATAGAGTAGAGAAAAACATGCTTAAAAAAACACAAGGATTCAATCAGCAAAATTCAAAAATCTGGGAAATTCTTCAGGACACAGGCTCCAGTTTCTTCAACAAATAAATGAAAAGACACAAATGAAGAGACATGAACTGAATCCAGCTGAGCTTTTTGGATCCTCATTTAAACAAACCAACTCTGAAAAAGCATTCGAGTCTGTCAGAAATAGTTCAATATTGACTGTATATTTGGCAATATAATGTCATTTGTCTTGTTTTGTTCTAGTGCAGTAACGGTATTGGGATTATGCTTTTCAAAAAATAATTCTTATTTTTTAATAATATACACTGAAGCATGAAATTATGTGTCTGGCACCTGCTTTATTAATACAAAAATAGTGGGGATGCAGTTGGGGGAGTAGAATGGGTAGAAATGAAATTGACTATAGGTTGATCCTCGTTTAAGTTTGGTGATACGAGTTTATCATTAACTCTTCCTCTATGTATGATTGAAAATTTCCATAATGTTTTGAAACACAAAGAGAGGATAGGATTATGCTGACTGGACCGTGCTAATCAGTTCATGGGTGAGGGTAAACATACACACATCTCATCACTCACTGTTACAGCTTCAGAGTTTTCCACTATTCATATACTTGATAGTCATGTGCTCACTTCGGCAACACAGATACATATTCTTGACAGTCATTAAATTAAAACGAAGGTTACCCTTTTTAAGCTCAAAATTGTAAGCAAAAACATGCATATATCAGGTTTCCTTTTTCTTAATCTTTTGTTTGTTTTTAATTTTTTAATGCAACATGCTTAGGACATCTCTTGGCATGTAGCAAGAATTCCAAACAAATAAATCTGTTTGTAATACTGTAAAGTGAGTAGGTGTGTAACAACATGAGACATCATTTCCATCAGGAGAGTGGTGGGCAAAAAAAAAAAAAGAGAGAAAAAAAGAAATACTAAGGAACTCAATGGAGACTTCAATTTTATTGTAATTGCTTGGAATCTGAGGTGCACCTTCACTGATCCGGTTTATGTTAGAAAAATTGTAAATTGGTCAGCATCAGACACTTTCCCTTTAATTCAATCCTCCTGTCATCTATGTTTTGGTAGCCTATATTCTGTGGAAGCATCAATCATAAGCCAACAGCTACTATTTTGTTTAAATACGTGCCTTGGAATTGGTGAATTTCTTATTCATGGTCAGAATAAACAGCCTCACATACGTGGCAATAAGACTGAGAAAGGTCCTGCCTGCCAAAGTCCCTTCTTTACTCCACCTCATGCTTAAAATGCCAGTGTTGTAATTTAAATAGTTAATTGTAACTAAAATACAACTACGCCACCCTGACAAGTCCTTAAGCTGTTAATCACCCTACTTAATAAACCTACTTACTATGGATGTGTTTTATATTTTTAACTGGGAGAAAGCTTTGAGCAGAGTGGGGGGAAGCAAAAAAGGAAAGAATATGAAAAAGCACAGAGTGCCGGGGTGGGAATAGAGTAACAGCTTTTCAGAAAAAGGACACCCAGAGAGAACGTCACATAATTCACAATTTGGCTTCAGACCAATCCAGGGTGCAAGGAAGCCATTCTTCCGCATCGTCCGCAAGCAATCTGAAAGTTTCCCCATAAACCAGCTTCCTGCCCCTGTGTATTTCCTACCTATCAATTAAAATCCCATTACCTTATGCAACACGTGTATGTCATGTCCTCTGGCAGCTGGATGTGCTGAATGTAAAGCCAGACTGACCTAAATAACCTGAGACTCTTTGCAAACACATTTTTATGTGGATTAGAAAAATACCTCGGAAGATTTATAGGTCACTGATAGAAATATGTTTTTAGGTATGCTCCCACTTTAATCTAGGCCTGGTTTAGACACGTTTCTTCTGAAAATTTAATTTTCACATCCCTGTCTACTGGAATGTCACAACATAGCTTTCCCATGCATCAGCATAAACAGAGAAATGGTAGCAAAGCAATCCACATCTAGATTTGTACTTGACAGCTGCAAAAAAAAAAAAAAGTACTTTGGCACGAAGTCCACTAAAAATTCACATTCAACATTACAGAACTAAGGGAACATGAAGTTTACAAAGTAAATTTGACTTACTTTCTCTTTTTTGGTTTTGCATTCTCCAAATTAGAAACCCCCTGTAAAATAAAATAAAATAAAATAAATAATATAAGACAAAACGGTACCAAGAGATCCAAAGGAGAATTCGTTCATTTTCTAGTATAATCTAAATGCAGTTCATTTTGCCTCTTCCCAAGTAAAAAGACTGATCTGTTCCCCATTGTATTTTAGTCATGTGTCACAGAAGTTTGGCTCAAATTTTAACTTTCTTTTCCTTTCGTCTTTGTAACTTTGAGAAAGATAGGATGTTTCCTTTATTAACTAGGGCTTATACCTTATTTTAAGCTATTGCCAGTTTAAAAAAGCCCTTGCCAGTTTAAAAAAACAACAACAGATCTTTTAAATTAAAACACCCAATTAAATCCTCATTATCTAAACCTTCTGTCCCTCCATCAATCCACCAAAACCAAGGAGACAGATACGTACCACGGTGTGTTAGTTATATCATAGAGTGCCTTCATTTGAGAAAGGCACTCTATGGGAAGTAGCTATCACAATACCCTGAGGGTGTTGAAATATATCTGTGATTCATCTGACCTTTTTCTTCAGACCGAGTGACAGTTGTGTAAAATCCCTTACACTTTGGGGAAAGAATTTATCACATTTTTCACCATCCTTGAAAGAGCTTAAACTGCCCTAGGCACCTTTAAAAGCCCTTCAGATTCTCTCTTTTTTATTCATCTACTCCTCCAGTTAAAAAACATTTACTGAATATCTACATGAAAGGTAACCAATTGTGTTCTGGAGAGGTTCATTTGTTTGGCATGGCAGGAATTTACATACTAAAGAAAATTGCAACCAATATTCCACTTCTGAGGGGAAAAAACACAAATGCTAAGGCTAAGAGGAATGGTGAATGTAAACCGGAAAAAGGAAGTTTGATTTGATTATTCCAGTGTTAATAGTACCAGCCTGAGCACGGTGAAATCTAAGATAACCTTTCCCCAAGATAGTGATTGAAGGGGCCATTTATCTAATCTTTATTTTGTTTGTATCAAGATTTTTAACTGCAGAGGACAATTTGGATAACTTATTTTCCTAGCGGTTGAGCAGAGCATTACTAAAACCCCACATGCTGAAACAGTCAGTCCCTGAACTTGAGGAGCACACATTACCAAGTTTGAAATACTTGTGCATAACCCACAGGACATTGCTTGTAGGGAAAAGGTGGCAGATGGGGGTTGTAGGTAAGGATGTGGGAGTCATGAATTACGCCCTAATGTGAGTTAGGATATCAACAGGCCTTTGAGGAGTTAATGGTCAGGTGGACCACTCCTTCCATTCTCTATGCTTTGCCATCGCATGCCCTAGAAGTACACAATCTCTATTCAAGGTCTTTTTCTGAAATTGTTTAGGTCTTGGGCCAGATCTCTCCAAACCTCAGATTAGAAGCTAATGGTGTTCCTTGCCCCGCAATCGGTAGCCACACACATTTAACAAGCTTTGTGACAATCGTGAGGAAAGAGGACAGCCACCCATCTTTGTAGTAGTGCTTTTCTGTTATATATATTTGGAACTTACTAGGAAAGAACAAGCAAGCTCCATGCTCCACAGTCTATGCAATCGGGACCAAATATGTCTTAATAGTCAAAATCCATCATCCTGAGTCTCATTAGTTTGTCATATGGGCTTAGATAAATCTCTTGGGATTATGAATGTTGCCCTCCTCAACACAGAGTGTACTTTTTGTGAGAATAGACAAGATTTGCAATAAGGAATATGGGAAACATTCGATACCTTTTAATTTTTAATTATTCAAGTCACAGTATTTTGGAATCAACTTATATCAGCATTCCTCTGCCTTTGCTATCAAAGAGGTTAATTCCAGATGACTCACAAAATGTATATGCAATTGAGCAAGAGAGTTTGAATCTAGAAAGAAGAAGTATTATGCAAACACAGTCTCCTGTATCACCTGGGTGAAGCTTTTGTTAATACAATTAGCTACAGGACCCACACATAGCTTAAACACTTGTAACAGCTGATTGTGGTGAGAGGAACATAATTAGCTTCTGGTTTGAAGTTTGGAGGCATCTGGACTGAGATTAAAAGAATTTCCTAAGACCACAAATAGAAATTGGTTACTTTTACTATGCATGGTGTCACAATATTCTCTAGGGACTATCCACTTTGTTCTGGTTTTACTGGAATGGGGGTCATCCAATTTTTCCTCATGATGAATCAGTTTAGGTTTGGGAAATTTTGTTAAAAGACTTTCTTGTAATGAATATTTTGGGCAAAAAATTGAGCTGAAACTTCTTTTTAATCTCTATTAAGATGAAAGAGTTAGTGTAGTTCTCCTTAGGCAACCTGCTTCCTACAAGGTAGGGAGAGTCAAGCACATTACATGTGGGTCTGGAGTGTGATTATATGAGGAAGAGGGATTACTTAAACAGGCCAGCATCTACTTAATTAGAATAATAGGTCTATTCCCTCAGTGTTGCCTAGTTGTAGATTACTATTGAACTGGTTAAGCAATTTTTAGTACTGCTTATACCAGACTCAAAGCAGCTGTGGAAAATGTAAATGGCTTTCAATTCTGACTGCTGCTTACATAAGCAGACTGTCACGTACATTGGAGTTCATACCCTGGGTACTTTATTCCTAGAGGGGCAAGTCAAAGAAAGACTACATGCAGTTTTATTTTTAGAACCACAGCTGTGTGTGTGTGTGTGTGTGTGTGTTCTACTCCGAATTCCAAAAGGAAGATACCACTTCAGAGTTATTTCAGTGAAATAAACGTCTAGTCCATTAATTTGCCATTTGCCATGAATACTGGGTAAAACTTACTCCTGTTAGCCTTCACTTCAGTACCCCTAAGTTAGGCAGTAATCATTTGTCTTACCTTTCATTCACTAGGGAATGTGTGGCTTAATTTTATTTTTCTCCCTAGCAATTGTTTGAAATTAAAAAGTGAAATGTGGAAAAATTATTACAAATGAACCAATAGAAACTAAGAAACATTTCCAAGCTGTGTTATTTTTAAGGTAAATGAGGGAAGGCTCTAAGAGCAAAGCACTTTCATGTATAAAATTAGGTCAAAGTTTTAAAAAATAGAAAGAGAAGATGTACCTTAAAAGAACAGATAAATTGTAGATATCAAATATATTTCTATTCTCATGCAGAGGTTACAGATGACTATCCTTTGGGATTGAGCCTAATATGTGCCTGTTTCTTGCTTTATTGGTTTTTAAACTTCCCTTTCAAATTACGAAGTCAAAAGGAAAAATGTGAATATGTCAGGAGTTGTTGCCTAGCTAACGGGAATGTGAAAGGTGATTCTGCACCAGAGAAAACTGATTGGCAGTAATCGATGATGCAAATCCCATGGTGAATTTTTAAGACTGTAGAACTGATGCAAACTTTGATTTGAAAATGAAAAACTTGAGGCTCAAAATGATAAATGGAGTCATTTAGGATCAAGCATATTGTGCTTTACCTTAATTAAATACTGGTGGATTTAAAAAATTTTGAATACATTTTTTTTTGGAATCGTACAAGTCATTCATTTCTACATTCACATTTTATTCAACAAACACTTATTGAACATCTACTATGTACCAGACACTGTGGTAGGGGAGAAAAGATTTCTTTCCTCACCTATCACAAAGTTCATGGCTGATATTCCTATAACAAAAGAGAAATTAGCAGGATAAGATAATATACACTTATTTAATAAAAGTTTTATGTGGCATGAACCTTCAGAAACGAAGACTCTAAAACTCAGAGAAAAGTGTATTTTTTTTGAATTGACATGCAGAAATATGATTGGAGGACAAAAGGTATGATCTGATGGTAATAAACTGGAGGGAATTTAGCAAGGCCTGTTTGTTCAGCTTCTTCTTGGTCTCTCTGTGGGACATCCCTTTTCTCTGAGTATAGGGCAGACTACCTGTCATGAGAGAGCCTTCAGAGGAGGAGAAGGGGAGGGTAATTCACAGACGTGATCTTCTTAGATTTTATGGCCTGATTCAGGGTAGAAGGAGAGAGGGGGAATTATAATTCTATGGCCTGTTTCAGGGGAGAAAGGGGCAATAGAAATTTCAGTTTCTATGGTCCACTTTAGGAGAGAAGGGGCAAGAGAAGGTCAGAGAGATCTTCCTGCTTCTGCTGTTTTCTTCATTTCCTTGACTTTAAGATACTCAGTGATAGGGTTAGGCTTTGTGTCCCCACCCAAATCTAATCTTGAATTGTAATCCCCAGGTGTTGAGGGAGGAACTTAGAGGGAGGGAATTGGGTCATGGGGGTGGTTTTCACTATGCTGTTCTCATGATGCTGAGTGAGTTCTCACGAGATGTGATGGTTTCATAAGTGGTTAACAGTTCCTTCTACACATGCATTTCTCTCTCCTGCCACCATGTGAAGAAGGTACTTTCTGCCTGCTTCCCCTTCTGTCATGATTATAAGTTTCCTGAGGCCTCCCTCACAGCGGTTTGACTGAGTCCATTAAACCTCTTTCCTCTCTACAGATTGCCCAGTTCTGGGTATTTCCTTATAGCGGTGTGAACATGGTCTAGTACATTCAGTATGCCCATGTGTCATATTTTAAGGTAGCATTTCATGTGCCCCTCATTGTTTTAGATGCAAAAAAGAATTGCAAGTAGTCTTTCTCTCAATTATCTATCACCAATGACTGTTGATCTCAGAATCCTATTAAATTCCCTTTTTTTAGCTTTAAAGATTAAATGAGTTAACTTATGTAAAATCCTTACATGATGTCAAACACATTGGAGATACATATAGATGATATTTCTCATTAGATAAATTGTTTATTAATAGTTACATAGAATTCTGATTTTGAAGTGAATTGAACATGGGTACAAACACATATGTAAATATGTATAACATATAAATTCCTACTAAAATAAACTAATTTAATTTCTAGTTTGCTTAATTCATTCTCTTGCAAAAATGAAGATTGTTCACTTGCATAACTAAAATGGTTATATTAATATTAAAATACAGTGATTCCAAGAATGCCGCACGCAAACTGAATAAGTATGTCTCTGGACATTTC